GTTGTTGTGTGTGAAGTGGGGTTGGAGAGATGGCTCATCAGTTAAGGGCACTTGCTGCTCTTGCAGAGGACCCAGCACCCACGTCTGAAAGCTCACAGCCTCTGTGGGATCTCATGCCTTAGCCTCCGTGGGTATCAGCCCTCGTGTGCACAAACTCACACAACACATATAATTGTTAAAATGGTTAAAAAATAAAGTTCACCTCTTGGCCAGATATGGTAGCACACGCCTTTAATCCCAGCACGCAGGAGGCAGAGGCAGGAGGATCTCTAGGAGTTCCAGGCCAGTCAGGACTACAAAGTGAGACCCTGTCTCAGAGAAATAAATAGGTAGATCTTAAAAAAAAAAAAAAAAAATCTTTACAGCCAGTGTTGTGGCACACTGGAGTAACCCCAGCACGCAGGAGTCAAAGCGGCATGGCCGTGAGTTCAAGGAGAGCAGCAACTTGTCCGGAAGGAAAATGGGGTCATGGGGACACGGCCCAAGAAGGAACTGTGTGACGAGAATTCTGAGTGCTTGTGAGAAAATCCCAAGGAAACAAGACAAGAGTCCGATGAGCTCGGGCTCTCCAAACCAGGGGATTGTTCCTGGAATGTGCTTTCCAGCCTCTCCCAGCTGGAGTGGACAGGAGTGAGCTCACTCCAGATTAGTCATTACATCCGGCTGTTGTTACTTGTTGGTAAGCCTCTGTGGAAAAACACGGTCCTGCCACACGTGACGTGTCCTCGTGGTTGTGCATTTTTACTCGTGTGGCTCTTTTTAACTCTCAGAGGATAGATTGTCCGATGCGCTGAATAAAGTTGGCCAGCGCGTGAGACTCTAGTCCACCTCATTTTTAGGCTCCGTTCTCCCAGGCTTAACCAGCTTTGGAGCGGTAAACAGAGACCGAGGAAGGGGTAGAAAGAGACGATGTGCCCAAAGTCAGCCAACCAGCAAATAGACAAAATGGATTCAAATCCGAACAGCTTCGATCCCCACATCCCTCCCACCACGTCCTTTGGCCTCTGCTCGCAAGCTTGGCTCTGACACTGTAAACGCTGTGAAGCCTTTAGAATAGTTTGCTTCTCCTGGTCCAAAAGAGCTCTGGTGCCGGCGGTGGCCTCAGGGAGAGCTGGACTAATGCCAGGCAGAAGCATTTCCCAGACTGTATTCACACCCACAATGCCCACCCTGCCAGTCTCATCAGGAGCCCAAGGCCATCCTCAGATGCAGCCGAAAGGATATGCTCTCCTGCAGGGTGGTAAGAGGCAGACGGAAGGACCCTTCCCGTGTGCTGGCTGGGGGCGCGTTGGGAGCTGTCCCGAACCTGCCAGCCCTGGTGAGGTCTCCCTCTGAACCGCCTTGGATCTTAGACCACAGGTTTCTTTCTAGGACCATCTCAGACCCTCTCTAGACCAAGATGGTGCCTCTGGGGAAGCAGTGTCTGGAGAAACAGAGACTGAAGTGAGGCCATACACAGGGAAGAAGTAAGGGAAATATACAGGTGCGGGTCCCGTGTAACAGGTGAGCTGTCCCCGACAGAGACAGCCTTGAGGGGACTTGGCTGCTGCAGAGGGTCTGCTCTCCTCCCGACCACACATCTAGCATGCTCATGGGCAGCCTGAGTCGATCCGGTGGTCAGCAATTTACCACTGACTGAAATCGCAACCATCCTCGCGTCAGCCATGAAAAGATAATACTGCCGGAAGAGTACGGTGTGCCCGAGGTGACCGGAACGGTGCCGCCTCACCAAGTCCTAACTGCCATTTGAGCATGAACTTTCGATCGTTTCAGCCAAGCATCAGGTGACATGGGGACGGATTGTGAGAGGCATCGGTGTCACACTGACAGCTGAGCAGACGTCACAGACCCAGACGGCCACGGTCAGTCACTCGGGGTGACCTCCTGAGGCAATGCAGCAGCAAACACCAGCGGGTGTGCTGGCCTGGGGGGGGGGGAGCCGGGCATGCTGCTCATTTGTTGCTTCAGGGGTGTTTGTTTTATGTGTGTGCGCCTGAGTACATGGATGCCTACCATGTGCATACAGGTGCCCACGGAGGCCAGAGGAGGACACTGGATCCTCTGGAAATGGAAATACAGGTGGCTGTGAGCCAACCCAGGTGGGTTTTGGGAACAGAACTCTGCAAGAGCAGCAAGCGCTCTTAACCACTGAGCCAGCTCCCCAGACCACTAGTATTATTTTTAATAAATAGAAACAGTCTCTAAAATAATAGTAAGGCTGAGGTATAGTATTGCAGATAATCCACAGATACTGATAAAAGGAACTATTTATTTAAAAAATTATATTGAGGAGAACTCACTCAATAGGATATGGCGAATCCGTCACCGAGTCCTGGAAGGCTGATGGTCGATCCCACACTGCTTCATGCTGCCTGAGTCAATCCCCACCATCCAAGCCCAAGAGCAGCTGGTGCCTCAAGGTCATCGGTGGAACAGGTACCCACTACAATATGGTTTAGTTTAAAGCATATACTTAACGTGAGGAAAGCCTTGGGGCCCATCCCTAAAACCAAAGTAACAATAATAATAGCAAAATAATAATAAAATTGAAAGTAGAATGAGGCTGAAGAGATGGCTCAAGGTTAAGAGCATTTGCTGCTCTTGCAGAGGATCAGTTCAGTTCCCAACACCCATATCAGGTGGCTCACTACTACCTGTTGAAGTCCAGCTCCAGGGATCCAATGCCCTCTTCTGGCCTCTGTGGGTACTGCACTCACATGCACATACTCATATACTTATACACACACGAGTAAAATATGTATTAATTACAATGTAACAAGTGCAGGAGCCAGTGGCAATTGTGTGTAACCATCATCATCAAATGCTGTTTACTGTATGGAGTTATCTGTGTAATGCTTTCATGTAGCTGGCAAAATGACTAATGGTTTGCTTACAGTGACATCCTCACCTATATCGTATGTGACTCGGTAATGTCACACCTGCTACTCTGCCGGTGTGTAGCAGGGAATTTTCAGCCCCATTATAATCTTGTTTGGTTTGCTTTGGGTTTGCTTGTGAGACAGTCTCAGTATGTAGCCATCGCTGGCCTGGAACTCAGAGAGATCTGCCTGCCTCTACCCCCAGAACACTCAGAAGGGGGAGTAAGAGCATGAACCATTGCCCGGGCAGCTCTGTTTTGATCTTAAGGGACCAGCATCATCCATACAGTTGCTCATTAACTGAAAAGTTGTTAAACAGCAAGAATGTATTTATTTCAATTTTTTTTTGTAGAATCTGTTATGTTATATCATAACACACACAAAAATAGAAGGTTAAATGGGAGATTTAAAAGATAAATATAAGTAGGAATTCAAGTATGTTCTTCTGATCCCTGTCTATCATCTTAGCACTTCAGGCATTGTTGGTCTCTACTGGGAAGAAAACCTCCCAGAAGGAATAATCAGAGGGTCAAGGAAATTAAATCAGGTGCAGAATGTGTTTGGGAAGTGTAGAAAAATAAGGGAATATCAGAAGAGGATGGTGATGATGGTTGGTGATAATAACCTACTGCTTTTCATTAGGTAGCACCATCATTAGCCAAAAAGCAAGCCTGTGAGGTCGGACAATTGAGGTCATCTTTCATGCTGGGAAACTGATGACCAGAAGTTGGAACCATGCTATGAGTTCTTCTGTGGCCAGTTTCTGACGGATTTGGTGGCACCGTTTCCTGGGACAGAGAGCGGGAAGCAGAGCAGGACTTGCTTTGCTGTCTGCGGTGTCCGTGAGCTGTGTTGAGTGTATGCATCTGCGGGATCTGGTGGCGGGAAACGATTTGGAAAATGTCAGCTGCTTAGGAGCCAGAGTTGAAGCTGCTTTTTTGGGTCTTATCACCTTGATCAGGAGCATCAGGTGCAGAGGGTGGTGGGGAGGTGAAGAAGGGCTGTATGGAGCCTGACTCTCGATGCGTGAGGAGGCTCAGATGTAGAGCAGAGCTGTGATCATTAACTTTCACTAGAGGAAGGCAAGCCCAAAAGGAGGGATAGCCCACAACAGAATGGGCAGTGACAGAATCACGGACAGAGACCTTAGGAACTGTCGCCATCTGGAAAAGACCAAATCAAGTAGTTAAGTGCCTTGCGGGATTCCCAGATTGGTCCTGGAATGGGGAGGTGGGGAGACATCAGGGCTGGGGTAGCCTCAGTCTCTGAGTGATGCCACAGATAGCTGGCAAGAGCAGAGCCATGGCTCCAGGCCCAGTGCCACAAAGAAGAGAAAAGGAGATGAGAGTGAGAGATGGAGGCTAGTGGAAAATTGGTGTACTTTAAATAACAGTGATTTGCCGGGCGGTGGCGGCGGCGGCGGCGGCGGCGGCGGCGGCGGCGGCGCACGCCTTTAATCCCAGCACTCCGGAGGCAGAGCCAGGCGGATCTCTGTGAGTTCGAGGCCAGCCTG